GGGGGCCCCCCCTCCCCCCCCCCCCCCCCGAGTACACAAATTTTTGTGCACCGGGCCTCTAGTATTATATAGGTAACTACACTACATATTAATTATATCATATATATATCACTTCAATATATGTGATATAATAGATAATTATATATACTATATATTAGTGATGTGATATATATATATGTATATGTATGTATGTATGTATATATATATATATATCTTCAGACAGTACTAAGTGCTGTAAAGAGAAGTAAAGCATGGTGAGGAAATAGAGGAGCTAGGATGGAGTGGGGCCAATTCTAGATAACAGCGATTTCTTCCGTTGGTAGAGCGCTTTGCATTTTTAAAAATGCTCTCCTAAGCTCTGTCCCATTTTCTCCCTAGAGTAATTTGGAGAGGGATTATTCTGGTCTAAAGATAAGGAAACGGCACTCAGAAAAGTTGAGTCCAGTCAGGGGACCTTCCCTGACCCGAGCCAGCAGTAAGAGTGGGCAAAGCCCGTTGGGCTAGGAGCCACAGCATTCTCTGTGGACCCTACGCTACTCCGTGACCTAAAGTCAATAACCATTACTGGAAGCCGGTGCTGACGGAGCTTGGCCAAGGCTGGGAAGAGGAACTCTGCTTCAGCTCTTACTTGCAGCAGAGCAGTTGCTGCCACCCACTCTGTCAAGGCAGTACCCCAGCGGGAGGACCGGGTGGGGTGGTGGTTCAGCCCTGATGTCTGTTTCACCTCAGCCCCGGTGCAAGCTGAGTGGAGGGACCATCACCAATCTAATCTTTCCCTCTAAACTAATTTAAAAGATTGAACCTCGTTTGCTCTGAGTTGAAAGTTCATAGATGAATCCTAAGTTCGGAGGGACCTGTTCAAAGTGACACTCCAAGGTCACAGGAGGTGGCAGGTGCGGTGCACTGGGAGCCTCAGGAGGGCAACTAACTGTCTGGGATTTCAATTCAAGAAGCTCACGTGGAGCCCGCCCTCAGCAGGCACCTGCAAGGAAGCGCCAGGTCCCAGGGCATTTGCAATCGATGGCCAGGCAGCGGCAGAGCCTTGGCCTTGGTGCTGCTTATATCATTAGAGCAGGTCCTTGCTTTTGGACTGAAGAGAAGGCAGATGTTTGTTTGGACGGTTGGGTATTTATTTTAATTACTATTTGGAAGCAGCTGGCACTGCACTTCTTCTTGGGGAGAAAACAATATTCGGAAAAATATTCTGAGTAGCCGTTTGGGGTAAATGAGACTTGTGGGCATGGATATCAGCAGAAACCAAAGATCAGGGAACAGAGGAAACCTGGTGGAAGGAAGAGAGAGGGGAGCAGGAGAAGGAGGCAGGGGAGGAAGGAGGAGACAGCAGAATTGAGAGGGCTGAGCGAGAGGGGAACTGGCAGGTGGAGGACCAGCGAGCCTCCTGTGTGGGGGGTAAGGGGGAACAGCGTTTTGAGGTGCTTTACGACAGTCTGGGGTGTAAAGCCCCCTACAAACTCCCGTCTACTAGGATCACTAGGGCTGTCTTGTGCACAGTGCAGAGGGCCCTGAATTCACTCCTGGCTCATGGTGTTCAGAGCAAGGCTGTGCAAGCGAACGTCCTGTGATGATGGGAATGTCTATCTGTGGACCTGATACAGCAGCCTCGAGTTACATGTGGCCACTGGGCACTTGAAATATGGCTCGTGTGACCGAAGAACTTGATTGTATTTCACTGTAAGTTACCAGCCGTATGTGGCGAGTGGCTACCGTACTGAGCAGCACAGGTGTAGAGAGAGGAGGAATAGGCAGAAGGAAGAGTCCCCAACTCAAGGAGAGCCTGAGAATGTAAGTGCTCTGGGATTTGCTGAAATCTTGGTGGCAGGCTTGAGACTTAAACTAGGAATGGAACTGGGGTTCTGGGAGCAGGGGCAGAGTTAAATCAATTTTATCTGGACCATGCATGAGGTCCAGATATTCGGAAACCCTAAGCTGACAACCCTAAGCTGACAACAGAGTTACAGAATTATTTGAGAAAAAGGAATAGAAAGTCCTCACACAGGCAAATTAGAGATTCTAGAAATGGGGAGGGTTGGTTTTTTTGTTTGTTTGTTTGTTTGTTTTTTGCTTGTTTTTGTTCCAGAATCTAAGCTAATGAGTGGCTATTTTTTCTGCACAAACATCTCCTGGAGAATTCACACAAAAAACAACAGTTGTAATGGGACATGGTAGGTGTTAGCAAATATCTGAGCCCCTCGTTGGCTGAGTGAACAGGGCCTCGCATCACCCACTGACGCCCGCTCACCCTAATCTAACAACATCCCCCTGAAGAAGGGCGGGGATCGTTCCCACTCACAGCCCAGAGGGCTGAGGCTCAGAGAGGTTCAGGTAAGTCCAGGAGAGGCACGATTCTTGGTCTTTGGTTTCACCCAACCTGCCCCTCCATCTAAGAGGCCTGAGCTGGACTTTGCACTGTGGCCACTGCGTGGGACTATGCGGATGCAAATGAATGTTTCAGGACCACAGACACGTGACCAAGCTCCAGGGTCCCACGCATTCCTGGTGTGTTGTTCCTTCTCCCACCTGCCACGGTCTCCCTCCCGGTCTGTGAGCCCCTCCCCGTGAGGCCCCACGCGGGTTCGCGGCTGGGCCTCTGTGGCCTAACAGTGCTTGCCACACCGCCCATCTCCGCTAATACCGAGGGACTAGAGCATCGGTTCTCAACCTGTGGGTCGCGACCCCTTTGGCGGTCAAACGACCCTTTCACAGGGGTCGCCTAAGACCATCCTGCATATCAGATATTTACATTACAATTCATAACAGTAGCAACATTACAGTTATGAAGTAGCAACGAAAATAATTTTATGGTTGGGTCACAACATGAGGAACTGTATTTAAAGGGCCAGAAGGTTGAGAACCACTGGACTAGAGAAATGAGTGAATGAAATGGCAAAGGTGGTTTCTCCACTGACTTGTAAAAAGACTCTTTTCACTTTGGAGAAATAGCATCAGAGCATCACAAAAACATTTCCCCTCCTTAAGTCGCCAGAGCATCTTCCCATTTATCGAGTGGAGCCAATTCTCAGCCACTCTGTTGTGGACTCTCCAGGGAGGTTGGCTGAGGTCTGACGCCTCTCTTTTTTCCTCTCCTGTTGGATTTATCTGCTGGGGACCTGTGAAGGGAACTCCTGACACTTACACACTGACCTCTTTCTCCACTCCAGTCCTGGCTATGCCTGCACTCATAGGTAAGGAAAAGACAGGCCGTTTTTGTTATCAGATGCAGTAAAAATTAGACATAGAGAAAAGAAGCTAATAAAAGGAGAAAGAATTCAGATGTACTGACTCAAGCTACATTGGGTATTTTGGAAGGGTAAAAATCTAGAATCTATCATACAAACAATCAGTCACCGATTGCTCCAACAGCTTTCCTTGGTAAATATGAATGACCAGGGATAACAATTTTTCTTGTAGACACGGTACTAAGTGTGGAATATATTTTCATCATAAGATGGATAGGGAACAGCCAGGCCTGCAGTGACATGACAAACACCGCCCTCCCCCCGTCCCCCCGCCAGTGGACGCCTCCCAGACATCCAAGTGAATGAGACAAGGCCATTTCCCAGGGTCTCCAGGGCATTCCCATTACAAAGCCAAGCAGTTTGCCCATCCCAGGCTCACTGACATACATACGACAACACGCTTGGGAGTTCAGTATTTGCCTCGTAGAGGAAAGAAGTTACTTTCTGCCAATTAAAGACTGAGGACATTCAAGTTAGACATCCGCTTTTTCCTTTATAACCTGCCTGAATTATTTGAAGTTTTTAACACTTTGGAATTACTTTGTTTCGGTATATGGTTTTGTATTCCTTTAACAAGTGTTTAAACTTTTTGCAGTGAAGTATCATAGCAAAGTTATCAAAGTTTGGTAACTTACGAAGATCCGAGTCACAGGATGAAGAACGACGCATAAACTACTGACAAGGGTGGAAGAACGAGCCAGGGGCAGCACTCACCTTTCCGAAGCTGGCAGCATTGACCGGCTGGGTGTCGTTCTTCTCGCAGAAGTCCAGGTAGTGCATGTAGAGGGCGCTGCGAGGAATGCAGACCCCTTCCGCAATCTCATAGTTCTCCTCCAGCCTGGGGAGACGAACACACGCCCAGTGAGCAAACCCCAGTCAGACAGGGATGGTCTTCCTGGGCCTCCTCCAGAGCTGGGCAGACCTCAGAAATAACTAACTTCCCACAGATGGGGAAACTGAGGCCCAGGAGGACAAAGCAACCTGCCCAAGGTCACGATGGAGTGAGGAGGTTAGCGGACTCCTGGCCCCTGTGGGAATGCCCGCTGGTCACGTTTTCAAACCAAATTCCCAGTCCTCCTCCTCGGTGCTGTCTTTGGCATGGCTACATTCTGGGTGGATTGGGCTCCCTGAAATTCCAGAAATGATACAGGGTCTTGCAGGTGCCCCATTCAGCCAAGCTTCGAACCACACACTCACTCTGTGGCCATTTCTAATGGGTGTCACAATCACAGAGCGTGTTTGGCTGACTAGTAGCAGTGGGTGGGGATGGCCTGGGAAGCAAGCGCCCAGGAGAGACTGGGCAGCTGGACAGTCACTGACCGCCGACTGCGGGAGGCTTTCCAGCCACAGCAGGGAGCTGCACCGCCTGGTTCCGCTAGGATCGCCTTCTGGGCTGCACTAGGATTGCATGATTCTATCCCGTTACCTTCCTCATGAGCACAGTCAGGGGTTCACAGCAGGGACTTTCAACTTGGGTCAAACCCCAGCCTTGTCACCCGTGGGCTTGGTGACCTTGGACAAGTTACTCAGCCTCGGGCCTCAGTGTCCACTGGGAGGTGATGATGATAACCACCTCATCAGGTTGTTGTGACGATCGTGTAATTTGTGTCATGTGCCGGCATGCTGCCTGGCACCCGGCAAGTACTTAGATGTTGGACCTCATCATCACCATCCACTTTTCTCTTCATAAAGCCTCTGTTGGCTCCTCTAGGTCAAGAATGTGTGCTAGATATTGGGAACATAAAAGCAAACTGGATTCTTTCCTCTTTAACCCACACACCACAATGCAGGCATCAAGACGACTCCTGCCTCCTTTCCCACGGACACACGGGAAGGTTCACCACTTCTCCCAGCAGAGCTGCCGGGGCACACGGCCATGTGGCTTCTCCCCGGGCCCCGCTACCTTCAGAGCCCGGGGCACACAGGTTCAATAAACTCACCAACAGAAAACTGTCCTCCTTTGACTATGAGTTGGATTTTAGGAAACAACCCAAAGTCATTTAGAATCAAGTTTGAGGGCTAAAACACTTTTTGAGGGGCAGGGGGTCGAAAATAAGGCGTGAATCTAAAGCAATGACACAAATGTCCTCAACTGGCTCCTAACTTTCCCTGAGGCACTTGCCCAGGAAGTGGTCCAGCGCTGTCGTAACCGGAGTGGAACGAGGGCACGGCCTCCCAAGGTGCCCACTTGAAAGGCAGCGCTCATTGGCTCACTCTGACGTGTTGAAAGAAGATCAGTCTTTCGTAGTCAAACCCCATGAATGCACACAGCCCTAGGATGCTCAGATAAATGAGGAAGCCCGGTGCTGAGGGGTCCCTGGTCACCTCATCCATCCAGCCTCCTTTTCTGGGAAGGGGAACACTGAGTAACTCCTGACAGTTTTTAAAAGTGTTTCGGGAAATACTTATGCAATCCTTTCTGGGCAACCCAATTCCTGGAGTCGGAGTCACTTCTGCACCCTTGAAGCCCAGCATATGCCTTGGCACCGAGCAGGTGCTCAGTAAGTGTCTGATGAATAGACGGTTTCACTCATATAGTCATTCAACGAACACCAGTCGGTCTCCTATCACCCGGCAGGTGCTGGGGACACCACGGTGAGCAACATGGTCCTTGCTTGCACACAGAGAACAGGTTGATGGTGGGCAGATGGACAGAGACACAGGTAACCTTTAACAATATTTACTGGATGCCGGGCAGCATCCTAAACATTAAGGAAATGGCAGTGAATAAAACAAAGGCCCTGTCCCGAGAGGGTTCCATTCTAGTATATGTGTCCCCAGCACTGTAACTCAAAACGCTAAATGTGGTTTTTTTTGTGGGAAAGCGGTTTCATGTAGAGATTAGGCTCCTTAGGACTACCTGAGCGTCAGGTCTGCTAGGGATAGGAATCAGCTTAGCCATCAGCCCCAAACGCCACTCACAGTGTTGTTTCTCTGTAAAAGGGAGTTCAGAGGTCTAAATAACAAGCATACGCACAAACCCGTAGGGGCCATCTGAGTAAGACAGCGCTCGCAAGCTGGGGTCTCACAGACACGCTTTGTTTGGCCTGAACAGTGTTGGCCCAACTTTGAAAACTCAGGACGTTTCACATTGGAATCTGGATTTCTGGCTTCTCTTAAAAAGGCTGAGGTCTGGCAACAAGGGGCCCATATTCCCGCATGACAACAATGGGCCCGAGTTACATGTGCCCTCAAACTGGCCAGAGGCCTCACTCCTCCTGTTTTTCTTACACCCAATCTATTTTCTGTGCTGGTCTGGCTTCTGTTGGCTCCTGTGTTGACGTAAGACACGACCTATGCCCTAGTTCACAGTGCAGTTTATCTGGGGAGAATAATGCACAGAACTAAGAATATTTAAGCACTACAACCTGCTGACCACAGGTGCAGTGGAAGGTGGGAAAACAGAGAGATTAGTGCTAGATGAGAGCAGGTGATTAGGTTTCATGGATGAATTGGGATTGCAACTTTGGAACAACAGCAGCAGCAGCCAGCATCTGGTAAGCTATTAGGCAGGGGCTCTGGGCATTAGGATCTCATTTGATCCTCATGCTAGTAGGTATTATACCCTGTCCAGTAGGTATTATACCCATGTTTTAGATGAGGAAACTGAGGCTGTAAGAGTGGAACTCATTTGCCCAGGATCTGCAGCTAGCTAGGAAATGGGAGAGTTTGTGTCACTCTTCACCACTGTGGTATTTGCCAAGATAGAGGGAGGGGGTTGCGGACAAGAGAACCAGCAAGGATGCGAGACAAACGTGGCATGTGCTTTGGGTGATGGAACTGCAGGTCTGTGTGGAGAAGGGGGCTTGTGAAGGAGTATCTAAAGGGAGAGAACCATGACAGAGGGGGTGTGGAGAAACTTTCAATGCCCACAAGAGAATATGGCCTGGCTTAAAGAGTTTAGCAACCCCGGGAATTGAAGAGCTGCTACGAAAGTATTATTTTCAGAAGGCAATGAAGGGATGCCCAGAGAATCAAAACAATAAAGACTCAGAGGCAGGAAGAACTGAGTGTTTCTGGGATGTTGTAGGAGTAATAATAATGTCATCAATAACAACAGTAACTAACATTAATCTAAAGCTCAGTATGTCCTTTTTGCCAGCAATGTCTTGAATATAGAAAGATGTAAAAAAAATCCATGTCATAGGTTTCTTCTTAGACTACTGACAGTTCCATCAACCACTCCCTTTGAAAAGCATTGACTTCAACTCTTTAGACGGCAGTGGGACATTTTCTGGTTGAAGGCACACACACGAACAACTGGACATCAGGAACTTTGTGCACGACAAGCTGCGGGGAGGGGAGAAGTATCCCCTTTTTGCTTGTTTTTGCTAATGAGTTCCTAAAATTAATTCCAGCCAGAAAAATCCATAGGCACATTCAACAAACATGCATTTCAAACTATTCAGAATTCATATTATAAGAGGCATCTGAGCCTTTAAAATGATGGGGGGGAGCAGTTAAGATTTTTAAGCATGGGAGTAGCACAATAAAATTTGTTTTGGAAAGTTCACTCTGGCATCTCTATGGTGGGTGAACAAGGTAGACTAGTGAGGCCTAGTCCACAGAGCGGCTGACTACTTAGTATTTGTTGAATGAATGAACGAACGAACAACTGAGACCAGTTGGGAGGTACTCTGGCAGTCCAGGCAAGAAACGATAGAGCATGAAGTGAAGGAGTGGCCACGGGGGCGAGAGAACATTTAGGGTGTGCGTCTTCTGTCGTCAGATGTGAGAAGGGTAGGAGCAACCAGGGCAGGTTCTTAGGCTCCTAACTGGGCTGAATGGATGAATGGGGGCTTCACTCCCCAAGATTAAAAAACGCAGGAGTGCTGAGTTAGGGGAAATGATGCTTCCAAACTCGGTGTCAGCACAGGCTCCCGGTACATTCCCGGGTCCCCCATTCATTACTTTACTTAAGGCCCCTGTGCTCAGTTTCTGGTTGTTCTTGTGGCCTGTCTGCTCATTAAATCTGGCCAAGAGATCAGGGGTAAAATATAAGATCAAGATTAAAATACAGCCCTAACCGGTTTGGCTCAGCGGATAGAGAGTCGGCCTGCGGACTGAAGGGTCCCAGGTTCGATTCTGGTCAAGGGCATGTACCTTGGTTGCGGGCACATCCCCAGTGGGGAGTGTGCAGGAGGCAGCTGGTCGATGTTTCTCTCTCATGGATGTTTCTAACTCTCTATCCCTCTCCCTTCCTCTCTGTAAAAATCAATAAAATATATATTTTTTTAAAAGATTAAAATACATCTCATTAAATGAACCCATAGCAGTAACCAACTATTTGAGTCGGATGTAAGTCAGAGATCACAGGCTGAGTTAATTAAGCAGTTACCTGCCCAAGGCCAGCACCTTCTAAATAACTACATTTCTACCCGTTTTATTCCTCTCATCAGAGCTTCTCCGCCTCCAGGTATTTGGGTGAAGCATTTTAATAAGCTCTATGAAGACACAGATGTAATTGGCATTAAGGGCAGCGTTGACATCTGATGAGTTGCTACCACCAGGAATAGCATCATGACACCTTACCCCAAACCTCCTCACAGAGTCCAGAGGGCCCGGGGTGTGCTGACGTCGCTAACTGGAATGCCCGCTTCCCGGCCAAGGCATGGCAGAAAGAAAGGCAGTTCATTATTTCTCTTCTTATCTGATGAAATTTCCCGCTTTCCCAGAGGACATCATTAGTCTGACCTGATGAACAATACTCCATTATACCTGGGTATTTTTAATGATCACAAAACAATTTCCCACGTCTTCCATTTTCTGATCTTCTATTCAACGACTTGGTCATATTTGAATTGAGTCTATCCTATTATGGAGATAATGAACTCCGTC